AAAGTTTCGTCAGCCACTCGCCTTTCTCAGCCGGTGACAATAAAGGACCACCCCATTCCATTCACGGACAATAAGCCATTCCCACCAGGTCACGACAAGTGTCGGCCCGCGCCACACAGACCCGTGCATACATATAGCGCTAGCTAATTAAGACGCTCATGGAACAGCGACACCATCGCTCTGTTCCTCGGTTAGTTACATTAATCACGCGATGGATATAAACGACCTTACGCCTGACACCGCAGTGCTGAATATTGCAGGAAGACCGTACGAATGTCGCGAGGACAGTACACACGCACACATGCACGACGTTCCATGGACACGTCAGTGGGTTGATCGACAGCCGACAGATGGCTGGCAGCGTCTGACAATTGTCAATGCGGACTGTGGCAGCCCTCCTTTGTGGATATCCAGTGTTCACAAGAGGTCTTTTCTTCCACCAATGTTACTACATGCCGTCCCATGTCATGCATCATTATCTACACGTCAACAGATGACATCGCTCCGCAATGTCCATTCAACAACCACGCCCGTCCACACAAGTGTGTCCAGTGGTGCGGACGCGTCCAAAACAGGTCGCCGGGGTAGCTTTGGCTGCCACTGCGTGTCATATGTAAAAAATGGCTTCGCCGAGGGTTCATGGGAGTCGTTGACAGCATGGTCACTTAGGTCCGGCTTCAGCGACTGAAACACGGCCCTGGCCACATTTAGAAGGAAAGTTCGGGAGCATTAATGGACGTTGGCTTCATATCCCAATACCCAAATATAACACTCATTTGCATTGGACATATAGGTAATGAAATGACATACGAACGAACATCTAATTCCACCACTTGCACTGGCGGCAGACATTCCACTCCAAAGAGTCTCGGCCACCGTTGCTACCAGCGCAGTATCTGCCTGGCCGGCCGTTCGGCGGCCGGCAGCCACTTTACGCCGGTCGGCGGGCGCGATCCTCCGCTGTGATTAGGCCGCCGGCCTGACTGATGGCCGCCCCACTGTCGGAGCTCGGCCCGGTTATACAGCGCCGGCCGGCCGATATATGGAGCCGCCCCGACCAACTGCCTGATACGTGCCGGGCTCAGTGGTGTCGATAGCGGCGCTAGCAAAGCTACACTAGCTCAGTCCAGCCCGAGGACGGGGAATAAACCGGACCGAGACTTACTCCGGCACTAACAAACCTACTAACAAACCTACAACCAGTCCAGCCAACCGGCGGACGGAGAATAAACCGTACCGAAACCTACCAAGGCCGCTAATAAACTTAGACCAAGCCTAGCAACACGGAAAATGAGATGGAAATTCAACCAAACCAAACCTCGATAATGTCACCAACAGACCTATAACCATCCCAATCGTCCAGCGGATGAGACCCCGAGAGACCAAACGAGACCCCGATGGCTAACATTGCTGTAGGCCTCTCACCGAACCACCGCTGACGGCCGTCGGAGCTGGAGGCGCCTGAAGTTAGACTGTACCGCAGAGCAGCTGTGTAATGCGGCACAGCCTACCCTCCCGCTCCAGTGACGATGCCGAGCGGCGCCGGGCCGACGAATTTCCCCCAAACCAGCTCCGTGGCCGAGTGGGTGACGGACAGGGTTCAATTAGCGGTCATCGGGCCGCGGTCACGGGACAGATTCCCAAACGGCGGCCGACGCGAGCTACGGCGGTCCGACACGCGAGTGGTGAGCAGCCGATTTGGGCGGCGCAGCGAAGGGCGCGGCGACTTGACTACACAGCTCAGGAACTAACGCAGAGAGGGAGTTGAGTAATTCGAAACTGAAGGAGTCAGAAAAAAACGCCAGAGTTTAATAAAAGAGGTTCCAGGAAAGTTAGCAGCGCGTAAACAAGCCTGAAAGACTCCAACATTCAATTGGGTGCGGCAATTTCTTTATAATAGTAAGTTATGAGCAAAATATACCCCTATTTGGTCCATCAGGAACCGGTAAATAGCCTGAGCATGCGAGTAAAAAAAAAAGATACATCACTAGTGTTTTCCTCCACTTAACCCATTTTCCGGGACCATGAGGAGCATGTCTTACTCTAATGTGCCAAGACCATCCATCAGCCCTGACACAGTCACTAAGAATCCAAGTACCGATGGAAAAGACGATGGCCCCCGCCCATATAACCCTTCAGGGGCAAAATCAAGAAATATACGAGTACCTTTTGTCATTGAGGGGCGCTTGGCAACACTGCCATCCTGACCCAGATGCGCAACATTGGCGACCAGCTGTGTATGCTTTCCTATCCTAGCCACCAGGGTTATCCGATGGCGATCAGCAATCAATGGCCGGATGTAGCGCGATGCATACCTCCGGAAGTAGCCGTCGGGGCCCGCGCAACTTCTCAAGGCTGTCTGGCAGGTCGCAGTATCGGCGGAGTATCGATCAGGCCAACCCACCTTCACCGCCGCCAAAAAGGTCCGTCCACACCCGCGGCTGGTTATGAGTGCAATCGCAGCGGACCCGCCAACGAATCATGAGAAGCAGCCCCCACATCGACAAAATACCGACACAAAATAAGGATAAACAGCATCGAAGAGATACCTACCACATCGATAAGGGGAGCAGTTTCAGTGGCGTCTACCTTGACTTGACCTTGTGCCGACCAGTCGACACTGCTCCACCATTAAACCAGCAGAAGTGGCCATACAGCCAGCACACAGACCCAGCACCGGCCACCGCAGAGTCTGACTGGCGGTCATTGGGCCATTTTCTGCCCCGGTGAGTGCCAGCTGAGGCTGTCTGAGTGACCCGCGGTGGCTTACATTGGGCAGCTGGGGTGGTCTCTTAGTCTGGGCCGCAGTGGCTCAGACTGAGTCCAGACTGTATGATCCGGAGACATCGGGCAACTTTTCCAGACAGCTGACTGGCCGGCGCCGCACTGACGCCTCGGGTCAGCACGGTCGACCTCTGAGAGTCACCGGAACAGCACGGACCAGTCTAACCTGATATCGCAGGACTAGCACAGATAGAACCAGATCTCCAACTCTACTAAACTTCTGCACATCTGTCCAACTGCACGCTGCCTAACACACTGTCCTCATTTCAAGATGCCATCCATTATAGCGCCGTTTCCAGCGCAGCGCGGCGGGACGCAATGAGAGCTACAGCGCAGAGGCTGAGAGCTTCACGGAAATGCCGACACGGCTCTACACTTAACGCCCTGGGAGCTCCACAACCGATTCGCACCATTATGGGTCTTCTAAGAACATGGTAATCAATATCAGATCCAATACTGACCCAGATATGTGATAGGCAGTAAGCTCGTGCTATTAACCTGGCTGGAACGATCTATTGGAAAATGAAAGGAATGAAAATCCACGTGAGTGGTGACTCTTTAGGCTGCTGAAATGGGGTGGCAATGGCGTAAATCCACAGTGGAAGAAAGATAAAACTTGGAGCTACTGAATATCATAGCTCCTGCGAAACAGTTAAGCGCCTCAGGTTGGAGCCTTGTTCCCTTCAAACGTCGACGAAGAAGCTCCAATGACTCTCCACAGCTTAACGTAACACGCTTTCAGCAGCCCCAGCCGAAACCGAGGCCCTCGATATAAGCTAATATACCCGAGGTACCCAGCAAGCCACAGCCCACGCCCACAAGCTCCACGCGAAACACAATCATCATCCCACTCCCAAGCCAGAGCCGTCGCCCTCTGTCAGCTTCACTCGAGCCAGCACTGCTGTCAAATCAGCCTCTCTGAGCCGTCACCACCGTCCCACGTCAGCTCCTGCTACGCCACCACCAATCTCACACAGCTCCGTCGGCAGTGCTCAGGCGCCGCCAGACTCACCGGAACATGGCTGAGCTGCCTGGACGGCGCGCCGCCAGACAGGGGTCTCCTGCTCGGTCCCGGGGTCTGTCCGGGCCTGCCGCGCTGCAGCGCTGACGGGGGCGGCGGAGACGTGGCACTGGACACCACCGGGCCGCCGCCGGCCGCCGACCGACGCCGCCACCGCCACTCCATCGACTGCCGGCCGCCGGCGGCGGCGGCGAAGGCGTATCGACGTCCGTCGGCCGCTCGGCAGGTAGTGCGGTCCCGGGCCGACCGCCGCCGACCCGCCGCAGCCGCCGCCGCCCGAGGCATACGCTCCGTTTAACACGGCCGGCCCCAGCCCGCGGCACGTGCATGGACCGGGCTCCGGACGCCGCGAGCACCCCTCCCCTCTGCTGCTGCCAGGCGAAATCAGCCGCTGAGCCGATCGATAAAGACGTCGCCATGGTAACCGAGCGGCGGCGTCGCGTCGAGCCGACCACCGCTGAGCGGGCCGATCTTCGCGGCACTATGCGGGTCCCGCGACATCGCCCTGGTGCCACCGAAGGCCCGAAAAGGTCATCACCATCCCAGAGGCGACATGGGATCTGCGAAGGACCGTCCTGTCTCCCCCAGGGAAATCAGTTCATTTTTCCTGCTGTAGCTTCCATCAAAACAAATAAATGAGACTGGCCTCGCACAGCAACCATCTTTCGACACATATCGTTGTTTGCTGTACAGGCAGCCAAAACATTAGTCAAGATATTCGCAATCCCAGACTCCCAACTGATTGTGCAATGCAAAAAAAAAAGACAAAAGCCAAAAGGCCGAGAAGCGAGAGCTCTTACCAATTTCTTCCAAGCGCGGCTAATACCGGACGGTCTGTTCAGGTAGGCTGTGCCGCAGCGCACCCGTGTCCTGCGGCACAGCCTAGCCTGATCGCGGCAGGCGGCTGCTGATGTTCGAACGCCGTGGAGCTCAACCGTCCGATCCAACTACAGTTTTCTATTTCCTAATCGGTTGGAAAGCTTTGAGCTGTGCCGCACCCACACTGGCCCCCTCCCTCTTAAATTGGCTGCTTTACAGGGCCTGACAGGTTACCGCGCTGGAGCTAGACGCCGCCGGCGGCTACGCGCACTTTCCAGTCGGTAATTAACGTTCCACATCGCAGGCCATCCTGCAGCCTGCGCCGTGCGAGTCGGCCCTAGGGGGTATCGGGTTACAAAGCCGCTGTTCTACTTACCTTGCTCTCTGCCTCTGCAGCCTTCTGCTCCGACTCGACTACACGCTGCTCCAGCTCCACCAGCTGAAACAGAGCAGAGCACAGAGTGTCAGAACAGGAACCAAAAGCCCGCACACTCAAACGACTAAAAGTTCAGCTCTTCCAGCGAAACAGACCAGAGCATGGCAGGTTAGTGATCACAGATGCACTAAAACCACACATCCATCAATTGAGACAGGACAGATACAGCATATCAGTGGTCAAAAGCCCGCACACGGCGCACATTAAATCCATTTCCATCAGGCAAGACAGACTGCAGAACAGCGGCCGTCAGTGATAGCACACTACCTGGAAAACGTCACCGATAACATCCAGAACACCATTAGGAACACTGGCAAAAGAACACAATTCTTTTCTAGAGGCAACGATCAACATCAATTATGCTCGAGAATACCCATGTAAAATGACGGAGCAAATGACCTGTGCGTGAGCATCAGATCCGCCACGGACTATCAATGGAATGGGCTGATGGGAATCACTATCCCCGTGCAACAGAGGCAATGAACGGTGAGGACCACTGCAGCTGAATCATAAATCAGAGATAATTTACGGCCCCGATGAAATACGGGCAACAAGAGACCATTATGAGCAGTTTACTAAAGTATAAACATTGACACAATGTGCCGATGAAAAGAAATACCAGGCAATAACAGAAACGGCCACATTTGGAACATGGCCATTTATCATGCAACTTTGCCTTTGCAAGATTATAATTTCATTCCCGAGCACTGCATTATAGCTATGCCGTAACACTGTGTAACGCTGGATAGGTCGCACGGGGTGCAATAAGGAAATGAAATCGCCAACTTCACCCTTACCTATTTATTCGATAGTCTTAACTCGCCAAATCAGCTTGACAATTTATGGGAAATGTACACAGTTGTTATAAATTATTCCAGCTATTAGTTGGCATAGTTCAACGCCCAGTATTGTGAAGCGCCGCCAGTCCGAATTATGTAATAATAGAAAGGTGTATTTTTCCTTGCAGCTTATCATCAAGTGAAGAAGTAACATACTTTGGTCATTGTTTATCATTATGAGAAAAGCTCTGAAGTTGCAACTGAACCATACACCATATCGCATCACACAGGCCGTTCTAATAAAGCATCACATTTTCAGCATTGCAATCACTCCAAGAGAGCCACCCAGCCTGTTCCCCTGCAAATGCGCCCAGCTGTGTAATTTGTGGTCATTGGCTGAGTTCCCAATAAGCGAATACACCGCGCCAGTACCAGATTAGGGTCAGGGTTCGACCGCAGTTCGGCACACGGTGGACAAAGAGCCCCTCGGACTTCCTCCGACCCGCACAAAACCCGTCTCCCGAGAGGCACCGCCGCACCAACATCGCGCCGTCCTCGCCGGCAGGATATTGCCGTGCCAGAAAAGGAACTCCCGGATAAGCTGTTCCGCCGGTCCCGTGCCAAATATTACAGAGAAATGCGGAAATTACTCGGGTGGGAACTGCCTGAGAACTACAGAAAATGATGATCAGGTGGATAAGGCTGATAAAAGAAAACTTGAAAACCTGCGATCAACCGCGACGCGGCCCAAAACATACAATCGGAACAGGCCATGGGCACAGTTGGATACGCAGTGCTTTGGAGAGATAAGGGAGAGGTTATCACATTTTCGTAGCAGAATGAAAGAAACATTCAACTGAAGACGCATATTCTACTCAGTCTGCGAACACTGTGCGATAGGTACTGACTATTGTTCAGCCAATGACTCGGTAGCAAAATCATGGCTCCTTGTTCTCTCGGACGTGACAGGCCTACCGGAGCACTTTCGGTTCACCTCCTGAGGCCCTCGCCCCCCCCCCCCCCCCCCCCCCGCGAACACACACGCACACCTCCCCACCTGACCTGTCCTCCCTTCCCCCTGAGTCAGTCCGCTGACCCCCGCCCTGGCCGGCACTGAGGGTCGCCTGTCGGACGACCGGAAGGCCAGGGCGGGGCAGACGGCCGTACCAGCGGCGCCGGCCGGTCGGCCGTCAGTGACTCACGGGCGCCACCCGGGCTATTGCAGCCCACGAGCGGCGCTGCTACGGTCAGTGCGACTCACGGGCGCCAGCACGGCCACCGCCGCCCACCCCAAGGCCCCAGCTACGCCACTCACGAGCGGGCTCCACCCCGGCCATGTCGACCCAGGGGCGCGACCCCGGCCACTGCGACTCACGGGCGCCACTACAGCCATCGTCACTGGATGGGTCCCGCTAGTGCGTCCAGGGGTCGGCGTTACCCCCACTATTGCAGGTCACGAGCGTGTGTCACTCCGGTCGCTGCAGCTCACCAGTAGGCCCCAGTCATTGATTTGACTTATCAGGTGCAGGCCTAAACTGAAGAGGCAGATGGAAATAACTCTCATATGGAAATAGCACCATTGAACTAGAGGAGAAAATACAGAGTTGAAATACATACTATCTTGCTTAATTTCGAGTAAACTGCACCCTATTATCAAGAGACGGTTATAAAAAAAAAACAATCGAGGAGTGCGAAAGGTCCACGTCTAGGTATTCTCAGGAATCCGCTCATTCTAAGCTAACGAAAGCTGGCGTGACTCTGGGCTCATCGGGACAAGTCCAAACCGAAGGGGATTTTTTTTTTTGCCTGATGGAAAATAACTAAATTACGCCCCTCCACCGCATTCGTTGGGCAAACACTGCTTTGGCTTGGCTGTGACCAACATAAGCGAGGGCTGAAGCTCCTGCCACCTAGCGTTGGGACGAAAAACAAACGCTTCCTCGCTCCCCATCACAGTGCACACTGGTCGGAAACGCCCTCACGAGAGGCCACGGGCGATTCCGGAGTTTCGGATTATTTTTTATTTAGATCGATTTGAAATTGATCAAATTATCATACTTAGGCCAAAAAAAACTAATCCGGGTGACCAAAAATAACTGTAATCAGCCCTCGAAGATGGGGTATCCCAGAACTCGGAAACTGACGCGGAGCAAGAGGTTTCTTGAGCCGGATATTCAGAGTATTATTGCTGATAGACACCAAATTGAAATCCCACATATTATGCATCAAAATGTTCGTTATGAAGTTGCCGACTGGTCAGTGCAAAAATTTTGGTATACCTTTTCCCTAACTAGGATGTACTATAACTTTTTTATGAAGGCTCTCCTACAGTGATTCTGGAATATAACTGCAAAGTTTAGGTAAGGAAACAACAGGTAGTCCCATCTAGTTCCACTCTGATTTTTTGTGAGATGAAGTAGGATTTAAATTTACACCAGGGCAACATAAAAGCTAACTGCGCATATTTGCGCAAAATTTGCAGGAGCCGCTCTTCCTACCCAACTACCGCCCGCCCCGCCCCAGTTTTGGCTCGGCCGCCGCGCCCGGCTTACGCTGACCTGTGTGGCCTGCACGCATCCATGCGTAGTTGACTGGTCATTAAAAACAGATGCGCTCGAGTTTATGAATTTTGTGAAAAGCGCGTTTTATGTATGCATTTATGTATGTATTGACATCAAAAGCCTTCCACATATTGCGTGGCGATTACGGCTTGCATTTAGAGAGCCTTGCTATTGACAACCATCACTCGGCTGAAGAAAGTGGAAATTGAAACCTTCGTGAATATAAGACGCTGCAAATATAGGGCACCTGTCACTGACGTCGGGTTACCTTGGGCCGTCTTTTTACATTAAATCACAATTCCGGTATTTAACCCTGGCCGGACCGATTGGTTTTCTATATTGACCGGGGAGGGTTGGTACAACTCCCTCGCCGTTTCGCCTCTAATTGAGCTAGAGCCTCGCGGAAAAACAAGCTTGTGTGCCGTTATAAGACGCAAAAATTAGGTACTACCCGATTTTAAGGTCTTAGGTCAGCCAGTGACCTTAGTGACCTTCTTAGGTCAGGTAAGTGCCACAAGGCACGGGCTCGGTTTTAGGTTAATTACTTTGCCAAAAATGGTCGCACTGCCGCGATTTTGGCATCATCGTGTTTGTCTAGCTCAGGCGCGTTGAATGCTATACTTGGTGTTCGGGTGAAGTCAACTTAATGTGTTAACCTCGGGTCAAGGTCAGGTCGGAGCCCCTCAGGTCACGAAAATGGTTGAAGGAGGTCATATTGCATATCATTCGATTCGGCAGGTCTTCCTGAGTCCAATGGTGGCCTTCCCGACTCTCTAGCTCCATCTGATCAGGAGTTATTGACGAAAAACTTATATGGCCTTAGTGACGTCATAAATGACGTCACGCAAAGTCAACAATGCTAAAGTCAAGCACTGGACCTTGCAAGGAGTGCATGAAACCATTCCCGGTGCCCGAATAGCAGCTCCCAATTTCCCTTGTTGACTTAAAGTGGTGCTAGATCCTGTATTATACTCAATTATGACGTCATAACTTAACAGATTCACGTCATATATTTGGTGCTTGACATACAAATGATAGCTTACACATGACAGAGAAGGTATGCAAAGTTTTATGAAGTTTGCTTCACTAGTTGTGGAATAACAAGCAAAAAACTTTTGCGGAAAGGCCGCTGGCCTCTCGCTGGAGCGTTTCCGACCAGTGTGCAGTGGCGCCTACCACCGAGGCACTTGCTCGCCTGTAGCGACATCTACAAAGCAAATGCGACAGATTCCAGACACCTAGCGGACACGCAGCCAACTGACGGCCGACGGTGCTGCCCCCTCACCACACAGCATTAGCGCAGCTTGGCGGTGTGGAGAACAAATGTGATGCCAGTGCCATTAACCATTGACATAAACTCTGGATCGTGCCCGAAGCTGATCCGGAGATTAACTCTGCGGTCTGATATCTGCCGACCTGGAGCATCAGATCCGTTCCGTGGCGCCATCTGACCTCAGAGCTGGTCGCACCATTTCTAAAACCTGATCACCAAAACAGATGGCTTCACATGTTACTGGCTTTCTTAACCTCTTGGTAAACACGTGCCTACTTAACAGTACGCAGTCAAGTACTGCAAGTACCGTTGAGCGGCGATTGTCTACCGCTAACACTGCGCTAAAAAAGTCCCCCCCTTCATTGTGAACTTCTCCGCCTTTTTCTCCCC